AAAAAAAAAAAAAAAAAAAAAAAAAAAAAAAAAAAAAAAAAAAAAAAAAAAAAAAAAAAAAAAAAAAAAAAAAAAGTCCTTATTTAAAAATTTCAATTTTTTCCTTATATTTCAACATTTTTCAATTTACTAAAATCAGTTGAAAATAAATTTTATTTGGTGAATTAACAAATAATAATAATAATAATAAATAAGGAAAATAACGGAAATAATTTAATTCATTCTCCATGACAAATTTATTATTAAATTATTACTCAATTTTAACATTTACTAAATTTTTTTCCCTATAATACTAATAATGATTAAAAATGTAATTTAGTTTTTTTTTATATTATAATTTAATTTATTAAACACAAAACTAAAATACCATAAATTTATTAAACACTTTTAAAATTGCAGGATGGGCACGGGAACAGGACCTTGGCGTTACCTCAGAACCCAAAGGCTACCCTAAATCAAACCGACCTCCACTTTATAAAAATTACTTAAAAATAATATTATCTTTTTAATAGTTTATATTTTGTATCGTTGTCGCGGTTGGACTTGGACCCTATAAATGTTGCTTCGTTTTTTTTTTGTATTAATAAGGAGTATTAATAAATTTGCTCGTATCCGCCATCATCTTATTATTATTTTCTAATTTAAAATTAATTATGCGTAGCCTTTTAAATTATAAATTATAATAATTTTAAATAAAACATGATATGTTTATATTTAATTAATTTAATGAACTTATATATATATATATATGCGCTAAATAACTAAAAAATAATAAACATGAATTTTCTAATTTTTACTTTTGAAATCAATTTAAACCTAAAAACGAACATGTTAAACCAATTCGTTGGTCAAGTTTGGGCCGTAAGAAGGCAGCAATAAAAGCCCGGCCCAATTAGTGGCCCAAATTCATTGTAGTTTGGGTCTCGGTTCGATTCCAACGGGAGATAGACCTTTGTGAGTCGCAAAGCAAAGCGAATTCCATCTCTTGGCGCGGCCATGGCGTCGTTTGGCTCTCTGAAGAATGCCATCTTCGAAAGAGAAGAGAGAAAACAGTGCGCTCTCTTGTCCTTTAATCTCTCTTAACATGTCCGTAGCTCATTTCCATGGAGGCCTTTGTGTCACTTACTCTTAACCTATTTTCTTCTTTATTCTTGAAAAATTTGCAGGCAGTATCAGGCGCATGTGCGAGGGCTCAATGCTCACGATCGCCGCAAGAAGTTTATGCGTGAGTATGGTGTGATTGCTACTGTGTTATTCAGTGTGTAACTTTTTGTGGAATTAATGAGCATTTGCGAGGGAAACCATTGGAGTTGTGATTGTGGCTTAACTATACGTTGTTTTATTTGAATGTTTTTGGCGTATGATCTTTTATTATATCACGAAGATCTGTTACTAGCACTGGGGGCGATGATTGAATGTTGTTGTTTAGCTTTGAGCTCATTTGGATTTTGTCTATAGCGGTTGCAAATGGGATAGAGTGATAGGAATTGTTAAACACAGTACATTTAGTTAGCTTATAAGGTTATTAGCTGACGGACGGACGTGAAGGATGCTTGCAAATATTGAGCCCCTTATTTGCATATCCTGGAGTCCTAAAGCAAAAGAATGATGAACAGTTTCCCTCACTAAGATGACAGGAGGCTACAATCATCCTAACATTTTGGTGCAAGAGATTTTTCTGTTAGCCTCAAGATTAGTTACTTTTAAATATTTGAATTGTGGATTTGTTGCAGTTCATTTCTACGGGAAAAATCAATCTATTGAAGAGAAATTTCCTATTAAGACTGATCAAGACACCTTGAGGGACGGCTACCAGTTTAATCCCACTATTCTTTCCAATCATGATGGAATGCCATTTTATCATTCATAGAGATGCAAATGATGGAATGCCAAATTAAATAATTAATTAGAATATGAATATATAATCGTTAAATGCAGTTCTAATGAATCCCTATTTTGCATGATTTAGAATGTACACACAATAACTTCATGGTAAAGCATAAGTGCACTCATAATCAATTTGATCATTGTGTGTATTTTCGGTTCCTTGATGATGACTTGTTTATCTACTTGGGCTTGTATGTTAGGTGACATGTCGATTGCTTCCAAGGGACAAGTGGAGATTGATAAGCGTCGATCCACTAGTGGTTATCCGTTCACCATGGCTGGTGAACCTGTTTGTTGGCGTTCAATATTGCAATCCACTATTGAATTGTCTAACACCAAAACAGAGTATATGACAATCACGGTAGCTTTTAAAGAAGCTATTTGGATCCATGATTTGGTTAATGACTTGGGCATTTCTCAATAACACGTAGATGCGTTTTGTGATAACTAGAGTGCTATTTGTTTGTCGAAGAACCAAATCTATTATGCTCATACCAAATATATTAATGTCCGATTTCATTCTATTCAAGAAATTAGCAATGAAGGGGATATTGGTTTATTGAAAATTGGAACGGTTGATAATCCTATGGATATGTTGACAAAAATGATCGCTCGTGAAAAGTTTTAGCATTGTTTAGATTTGATCAAGGTTGGACGGAAGAAATAGCTTGTTGACTTGGTGGCAACCAACCGATTATCTGCTTCGGGATCTTCTGATAAGGTGAAGATTGTTGTAAGTTGTGATGAGGAATAAGTTCATGCATCTTCTACGCATGTAGGGTCATTTATTTTGGTTCGTAAGTCTCATTTATTTGGTTCGTAAGTCTCATTTATTTGGTTCATAAGTCTCATTTATTTGGTTCATAAGTCTCATTTATTTGGTTCATAATCCTTACTAGTTCATCTTTCATTTTGATACATGTATGAGCATTAATGTTGCTAGGATTCATGTACGAGAATTAGTATTGCAATGCCTACATAAAGGCTTGTCTAGCATTGTTTCGAGAGATGGAGTCATTGTCATTTTGTATTTGCCTAGAGGCAATTAGGAGGAACTTTGTAAAATAGACTTTGTAGTGCGAGAGTGTGAGAGATACACTTATAAACACTTTGATTATAGTGATTGGCTACCACCCGTGGATGTAGGAGAATTTCTTCTCTCCGAACCACGTAAATCTTTGTGTCTCTTTGTTTAATTTCTGTTTGTGGCTGTGACTGCAATTACTTTTGCTTCAGCTTCCACTACAACAATTGAGTATCAGAGCACCTTTGATTTGATTGTGGCATTAGGGTACAACACATATAACCATGTACGTATTCATAAACTTTGTTCCTGCTTGGATATGGTTGAATCATTTGCTGTTAGTTTCCCTCACTCCATCATTCCATGCTTACATAACTTATATTTGCATCATCTGTTGTAATGTAATGTAAAAAGCAAGCCACAATTTTCACTGTGATAAAGCTGTTTGTTTGGAATCTGAATCATTCTTCTTATGATTTGTCAAATTGAAATATAACAATTTTCTCACCTCCCCTGTTGTCTTCGTTTAAAATTTTCTATTTTTATAGTCTCGTACTTAGTTTTTTTGCAAGAGTAATTTATCACTGTTTTCTCCCATCTTGTATATTTTGTTGTAGATGCTCAAAGAAGCTTCATTACAAGAGAAAGAAAGAAAATGAGAAACAGTGAAGGATGGAGCAAGAAATGTCCAAAAGGAAGAGGTACCACTCCAAACTTTAAGGTACAGTTTTCTACTAGCTAGATTGGCAAGAGGATCAGGTCGTCTTTTATAACATATCCAACGGGTTGGGTCAGGTCGTCTTTTATAACATATCCAACGGGTTGGGTCAGGTCGTCTTTTATAACATTAGCTAGATTGCAAGTTTAAATATTATTCTCATATCCAACGGGTTGGGTCAGGTCGTCTTTTATAACGTTTCACATCATCAATGAAATTGTTTTTTTATCAAAAAATTAGAAAACCTTTACTTAGTCAGTCTATTGGCGCAGACTCTTTTGCCGTTTCTTTGCAGGAAAGAAGGCTTCAACATCATCAGGGGATCATAAAGCTGATGACAAAAACGACTTTGATGAATATGGGCCTCAAGGCTACACTTCCGGCCTCCACAGGCAGTATTTTCAGGTATTTGCTTCCTTGAAACCTTTTCGAAGACGACAAATGGCAATTTATATCTTAAACATAAAGCATCATGTGCATGTGGTTGATTCCCTAATTGTTTAATTGAGTTGTATTGTTGCCTTGTCGTAATCTATCTACCTTGTTCTGTTGTATGAGCTGTTATGTGCAGCAGGGTTTTTTAGTTCAGAAAATCCATCCACCCAATTGAAACTAGTCAAAAGCTCTAAACCCTCCCATATATTCAATGTTCATGCTCAGATCCCCTTTTGTTCATCGTCACACTCGCTGTCACCACCCACCCTTTTCGACCTCTCTTTCGAGTTTCGACCTTTGTTGCCTTCCTCCCATGGACTTGGACTTAATTGTGGTCACCACCCACCCCTTTCGACCTCTCTTTCAAGTTTCGACTTTTGTTGCCTTCCTCCCATGGACTTGGACTATTGTAATTGTGGTCACCACCCACCCTTTTCAACCTCTCTTTCGAGTTCCGACCTTTGTTGCCTTCCTTCCATGGACTTGGACTATTGTAATTTTTTGAGGATTATTGAAAGAATTATTCTTGCTAATGAAAAGAATCATCATGAGTTTATAACCAAGGAATGCATCTTCATAGATATGAGAAATGGGTATGAGGCCTTCCGAAGAAACTAAACTCCATCATGGGTTTATAACCAAGGAATGCATCTTCATGGATGAGAAATGGGTATGAGGCCTTATGAAGAAACTAAAAGCAAAGTCAGAAGAGTTTATACTAAAAGTGGACAATATCATACAATTGTAGAGTGCTGTGATTCTTAATAAGGTTGTGGGTTGGTGGACGTGGACAATGGGATAATTTCTCTCCGTCCTCTAGTTATATGAATACACGTAGAATAACAAAATTTTATTAATAAAGTCGCTCTGGATGGATCCTTCTAATATGTAGTTTTATTAATATATTTTGACAATTGGTTATGTTGATGTCATTTTGATAGTTAGTGCATTGGGTGGGGTAATAAAAATATTATACAACTTTAATTAAATAAAAGAGCCATATTGGTGAGGCATATGGAAGTTTGAGATTTTCTAAATTAAAAAAAAAAAAGAATATATATATATATATATATATATATTATTATATCTTTAAAATAGTGAAATTCCTTTGAAAAAAACATACGATGCACCAATTAGAAAAATTCTAATTTTTTAATACAAATCCGAGTTCAGAATTGAATGCCTCAGCATAACGCCACGTTGACTTTATCCACTAATTTCATGAAACGTGGCGTCACTTTAGGCACTCACCTTCCTTACGTGGCTCTCATGCATTTGATAGCACTAAGTTTTCGTGCTACCTTATCATAAAGCCACAAACGTCCCACTGACGTTCCCCTAACGGCTCAATACGGCTCCGTCAGTACGTCGTTTAGGGCCTTTTGAAATGGAGTTGACGTGTTATCGTCAGAGGTGGACCTCCAACCTTTTTGATTGTGACACGTAATTGCATTCAGTAGAATCGTACGGCTGTGAACTTCTCACGTCTTCCAAAGATTTCCTTTAATTATTATAATATATATATATATGTAGTTTTAAAATAAGGAAGTTGGGAATGTGTAAAAGGTCTACTCCCATTGGTCACTTTTTGGAGGACAAAATGACCAAACTACCCTTGCTGACATCATTCTCCAAATTAAAATATCTACAAATTGGCCATTTTTGGAATTGTAATTGTCCAACGACCAATAACTATTTTTTTCCACATTTAAAAAATACTTAATAGACCAATATTGGTTGATATTTGAAAACCATATAAAATATAAATTTTATTTTATAATAATATAATATTATTTTTTTAATAGTCCAAACTGATGAAAATATAAATTTCTTTTTAAAATAATTTACTAAATCACAAATTTGGGTATAAAATAGTTCAATTATTGTTTGGAAAATGTAAGAAAATAATGAAATGAAAATATTTTGCAAATAAAAATTTAATTGAACCAAGTATACATAATTAAAAAGAATTAATAGAATAAATCCCTAAAATAATGGAAAGGTTAGTTTCGTCAATTGGTTGGAAAGTCCCACTTCTTTTTGTATTTCTAAAATAAATATCTTTATCCGGTTCTTCCTTAAAGGCGACACAATTGGATTACCAATTGTGTCCTTTGTGAGAAGCAATCATCAAATTTTTTATTTTTATTTTTATTTTTTTAAAATATATTATTATTATTATTATTTTATTTTCTTTACCATAATTTTCATAATAAACTCTTTTAGTTTTAACTTTTTCCTTTTAATTTAATTCAGAATTTAAATGAATTTTTAATGTAAAGCTAAAGAAACATAATCTAAATATTTGAAATAAATATTTTTTTTATTCTTCTATCTATCAATTTATTTACAAAAAAAAAAAAAAAATGGTATTTAAAGAAAACAAATATTACTCGTAAATTTATCAAAATGTATCAATTTTAACCCTAAAATTTTTTATTTCATCAAATTGCATCTCATATTTCGATCCTATAATTTTATTTCAAATATTATAAAAAAAATATTTATCTCGTGGGTTCAATGAATTATAAAACGTATGATAAAATTCTAGAGAAAAACGTCGATAGGGCTATTTTTTTATTTATTGAAATTTATGAATTTTAGAAAAGAAATATTTAAGGGTTAATTTGGTCATTAGTCAATTTTATTTTTATGTAAAAAATTATTTTAATGAAATTAGAGATGATTGTTGGAATTTATGGAGGGAAAGGAATAAATTAACTGTATAAACTACCGTAAATTTATTGACTCTCAGTTCTTTCTTAATTCAATAATTTTTAATTTTAAAGTTTTTGCTCTTCTCATTTTTAATTTCCTTCTCTCTGTCGTATTCCATAGCCACTGCAGCGAGCGAGCGAGGTAGAGAGAGAGAGAGAGAGAGAGAGTCATGGAACTGAGCTAGAAGACCAGAGAGACCTTCAACCTAAAGCTCCCTAGGGTACGATCGTCTCTTTCGTAATCACATCGCAGTTGTAAGTTGTCTTCCTGCAATTGCTGCTGCTTGTTTTTGATTTTGCTGCTTACAATCGGTATTTTGATCGGAGCACGATTTTCATTAAGGCTCCATTTCTCTTGAGGAATTTGTGCTTGTTTTTCATCTAGTAGCGTCGGAATGATAAAGTATAAGAAAAACTGTTGGAATTTTGAGTTTATGAATGAGGAGAACATAACGGAGTTCGATTGCAAAAGTGATTCTGAACTTGTAATCGTCGTCTCGAATAGGCTGAGAAATTGAACTAGCTATCGTCTTGTTGAGTTACTAATTTCGCCATAGTGATTATAAACCTACTGTATTTCGTCTTCTTTTTTTCCTTTTTTATTTCTCGATCTCTAGCTTATTTGCTGCATGCTTTTCGGCAACCGGAGAAAGATCTTTGTAGTGCCTCTGTTTTGGATCTATGGAAATTGCAGCGATTGAAGTAGATTGAAGTAGATTGAAGTTTGTATAGAGTAAATGGAAGCGATAGATGTAGTTTGTAACGAACATCTACTGTATTTAACATGTTATTTTCTCGCCATAATTTAGTATCTCTTATTATATTATCTTGAAGCCCCTGTAATGTATTGTAGATGAGCTATATGAATCTCTGATAAGTTTTTGTCGGTAATCTTCCATCTAGCATGCTGGAGTTTTTCAATGATTTAGGGATGCTAGGAATTCCAGGTTGCTCAGAACTGGGAAATATTGTATCTAATCAAAGTTTATGTGCTCCAATCTTCTGATGAGCTTAATAAGTAAAACACTCGATGTCTCCAAAGTCCTTCTTTAAAGCAGACTCGATTATGTTGAGAATCCCCTGATGCTGCGGTGTGGTATAAGTAGGAGTGAATTATTTTGCTTTTCTGTTCTTTCTAATTTTCGCCCTTTTACGGTGACAGGATAAGTTTTGAACGATGCCATCAAAACCAGAAAATGTAGACCAACAAATAGTTGATGGGTCGAAGTATTTGGTACAATCGACCAAATACTCGGGCGCTTGGTGGAATGGAGTTGGGAACAATACCATCGCAGGTGAAGATGCTACCAAAACAGCTTCTGCAGATTACCTGAACGATACTGTTAGCAGTGGAGGAACGCAGTCACAAGGAAATGGTATAAGATTCATTGCTAAAATTGTTATTAATTCTATATATTTGTCTAAGAATACACAATTTAAGCGATATATTGAACCTGTTCTTGATTCAGATGAAAATATTGGGAAAGAAGTTCAGCATCTCAAGTACATTCCGTTTTCTGCATCCCCACCTGTGGGCGAACGCCTTGATCTAAATTCCCAGATGGAACTTGTTGGCCACTCAATTGTAAGATTTGTCTGTCTATCTCTGAAACCAATGTCTATGAAAAGAAACAAACATGAGTAGTGTGCCTAGATGTTTGACTTTTTAGACTTTGCTTCCCTCTTAGCTGGATACAAAAAGGACTTCAAGTATCTCCATTTGCAGGTTTTGACATCATATCCTTTTTCAGATGCACAATATTGCCAAATGCTGACTTCTAATGGACCACAGTCCACGGTATACTCTGATTTACTAGAATATGTTGGTTTATGATAGAACCGAATAGTTGCAAAGTTGAGGATCAAATCATCAACTTTTAAGATGTTAATTTGATCAACTTTTGAGATGTTAATTGATGTCTTATCCACCGTTTAGATTGACCATTCAGATTGACCATCCCTATGGATGATATATGGTTTAAACAAATTTATATATGAATAGAGGTTTAAACAAATTTATATATGAATAGAGGCTAAATACAACCCTCGCTATCGGGCATTGTCATGTTTGTTTCTTATGTACAGTTCTCTTTGCAAAGAAATTTGCCACCTTGCAATTCCTACGAGGGGCATCATTTTTTTGTACAGACCCTACTTGCCGATCAACTGTTCAAGAATTATGATTATGCTTGATTTTCCTGCAGTTTCCTCATATTTATGGACTTCACCATGCTAGGATGCCTTTACCCCTTGAAATGGAAGAAGAACCCGTTTATGTAAATGCAAAGCAATATCATGGTATCCTGAGGAGAAGACAGTCGCGTGCCAAAGCTGAGCTTGAGAAGAAAGTGATAAAAAGTAGAAAGGTATTACATTTCATCGTAGTTGTATCACATTGTTACTTTTCTGCATACTCTAATCCATTTTGTGCAGCCATATCTTCAT